TACAGCACTTTGGTCCTGTCCGGTGCATAAAGTGCTTCATAAATAAATTTGGTATGGTATGGTACAGTAGGTGCGTGTCCACTATGAGAGACATAATCTAAAAAATCCAGAAATCACAATGTATGTTTTTTTTTTTACTGTTTTATTTGTGTGATTTATGTGCAAATAAGTATTTGAACACCTGAGAAAATCAATGTTAACATTTGGTACAGTAGCCTTTGTTTGCAGTTCCAGAGGTCAAACGTTTCCTGTAGTTTTTCACCAGGTTTGCACATCCTGTAGGAGGGATTTTGGCCCACTCCTCCACACAGATCTCTAGCTCAGTCAGGTTTCTGGGCTGTCGCTGAGAAACATGGAGTTTGACCTCCCTCCAAAGATTCTCTATTGGGTTTAGGTCTGCAGACTGGCTAGGCCACGCCACAACCTAAATCTGCTTCTTCCAGAGCCACTCCTTGGTTATCAGGGCTGTGTGCTTTGGGTCATTGTAATGCTGGAAGACCAAGCCTCCACCCATCTTCAATGCTCTAACTAAGGGAAGGAGGTTGTTCCCCAGAATCTGGCAATTCATGGCCCCGCTCATCCTCTCCTTAATACATTGCAGTCTCCCAGTCCCATGTGCAGAAATACACCCCCACAGCTTGATGCTACCACCCCCATGCTTCACAGTAGAGATGGTGTTCTTGGGATGGTCCTCATCATTCTTCTTCCTCCAAACAGGGTTAGTGGAATTATGACCATAAAGTTCTATTTTGGTCTCATCTGACCCCATGACTTTCTCCCATGACTCCTCTGGTACATCCAGATGCTCATTAACTGCAGACGGGCCTTGACTTGGGCTGCTTTAAGAAGGGGAACCTTCCGTTCCATGCATGATTTCAAACCATAACATCTTAGTGAATTACCAACAGTAACCATGGGAACGGATTTAACAAACAACCAGACCCCCCAACCCCCCGAACCCTACTAAGAAAAGGATATAAAATACACAGATCAGACTTGACCTGAAACTTGCATTATCTTGGAACATTTTGACATAATAGAATGTACCCCTGAAGCATTCACTTGGAGCTTTCGTAAGTACCACACATCCTACAAAATTGATTCCAGTTACTAATGGCTAGTGTTGATCGTGAGTGAGTTTGCAGTCTTTTGACCTTAATTCAGCTCTGTGGAAGCCATTGGACATCAGGGGAAGCTCATTGAGTAACCCTAACATTAGCCTATTCCTATTTCCTTTGGGATTAATAGTTATTTCAAGCTCATTTGAGGGGAACAGAAGCACACATACAAAAGAAACA